GTTTCCTTACAATGCTCTCGAACATCAGATTCCCCCATAAACATCATCACCGGTGATGGTTTTGTGGACAGAATCTAGCAGATGGCCCCAAACAGCACAAACATCCTTGAACAAGAACAATAAAATCAAAAAGCCCACGTTCTGAGAACTAAAACTCTAAACAGGGTGGCACGGGTATAAAACACTGAAATAGATCAAAGGAACAAGATGGCCCAGAGATGAGCACAACAGGACTTTTGAGAAAAACATGTTTTATTACGTGTACTTATTTATTTTGTGTAGAGGATATGCGTGCCATAGTGCTTATGGAGAGGTCAGAGGCCAATCCTTAGGAATTGGCTCTCTCCACGTGGGTTCTGGGAATCCAATTCGGGTAGTTAGCTCGCATAGCAAGCGCCTTTACCCACTGAGCTGTCATGGAGTTTTGACACGAGGTGCAAAGGCAACTGAGCGCAAAACTGCCTCTTTGAGAAACTTGGCTAGAATAACGGAATACCCAAATACAAAAGAAAAAAAAAGTAAAATAAAAGAATAATAACAGAGCTTATAACCCATACAGCATGTAAAATCTATTCAAAAAGGAATAGTAGGAACACAACAGAAGGGAAAATCTTTGTGGTTTGGGGTCATTCAGAGGTTTATTAGGCACAACACTAAAAGCATATTCTCTAGAACAAATTGACAAATTGAAATTCATTGTCACTATTATTACTACTAATTTGGCTCTTTACATGGTCATTACAGGGAGGCTGAGAAGAAAAGCTGGGTACCGAGAGAGAGAATCTCTGCATAGCATCAGCTTCTTTAGGTCTAATCCAGGATCCCTAAAGAACCTCAAAACTCAGAGATTAGAAAGCAAACAGCTGCCACGAAAGGGTGGCACACCTTTAATCTCAGCACTGGGGAGTCGGAGGCAGGCAGATCTCTGAGTTCAAGGCCAGCCTATTCTACAAAGTGAGTTCCAGGACTCACTCTGGCTACACAGAGAAACCCTGTCTCAGAAAAACAAAACAAAGAAAGCAAACATCCCAAATGGAAAATGTTAGGCCAGGATGTGAAGAGGCAAGGCATGAAGAGGCACATGGAAAAAGTTGGTCAGCAGATATGCTGCTGGCATCGTGTGAAGTGGGGACCCACTAGCATTAGGCACCGAAAGGCAGGCTGAAATGAAAAGGCCACTGAGGCCAGCCCAGCATGATGGCTCACACTTGTAATTTCAGCACTGTGAAAACAGGGGAGAATGACTTTGGAGAGTTTGAGGATAGCCTGATCTAGTGGTACTCCTGTCTCAAAAAAGCCAAAAGAGCCAGGTATGGTGGCGTCTGGCATGATTTTAATTTGATGCACTCCACTAGGAAGGCAGAGGCAAGATCCGGGTCATCCATGGATAGGTAGATCCTTTCTCAAAAGAAAAAAAGAAGTAAACAAGCCAAAAGAATGACTAGCGATGTAGCTCAGTTGGTACAATGTTGCTCATTGTGTCCACCATGTTTGATGCTCAGCACTGATTAACCCAGCATGGCGGTACACACTGTCAACTAGCACTCACAGGTGGAGGCAAGAGGATTAAGAATTAAAGGTCATCTCCCCCATATAGTGAGCTAAAGGGCATGAGGTTCTGTCTCTAAATAAATATTATGAGAGGGAGAGGAAGAGGAGAAAGGCAAGGTGGCAGAGGCGGAGGAGGACAGACCATCAAAGCAAACACTGACTCTATAGCAACCTGAGAGATGAATCTCAGCAGAAGCACACTGTGAAAGGAGTCAGATAGGACTCCACACCCCACAAGTTCATTTACATGACATGTCAAAAATGGAAGGAAATGAGCTGTGGTGGTGCACACCTTTAATCCCAGTACTTGGAGGCAGAAGCAGGCAGATCTCTGAGTTTGAGGCCAGCCTGGTCCACAGAGCAGGTTTCAGGACAGCCAGGACTATACAGAGAAATCTTGTCTCCAAAAATCAAAAACCAAAAACAAAAAAACAAAAAAAAGGGGGGGGGAGGCAGAAAACGAGGGTCCGAAGGGGTATGGGAAGGAGCACAACTCCATAGGGGTGCTTAGTTGGTATCTCAGATGACAATCTATTTGTATTAACATCAACCCAAATGCGCACTGTAAATACGGCCTGTCAGTTACACATTATGAAAGACACCTTCAAAATAAAAGACTAATGACAAATTGAAAAAGAGGTGTGTGTGTGTGTGTGTGTGTGTGTGTGTGTGTGTGTGTGTCAGGGTTTCTTATAGTTCAGGCTGGCTTCTAACTCAGCATGTAGCTGAGGACAGCCTCATACATCTAATCCTCTTGCCTCCTCGTCTCAAATGCTGGGATTACAGGCGTGTCCCCACACTCTTATTTTATCCAGTGTTGGAGATGTGGCTTGCTCAGAGACCACAACCACCACATATGAGCCAGAATGGAACTCAGCTTGGTGTGGGGAGGATCAGGTGTCTCCCCAGCCTGTAGTCCTTCCCTATGCTGTCCATCTTGCAGTCCCAGAGTCACCTGACACTCAACCAAAAACTTAAAACCAGAAGAGAATTGTGGAACCCTGGTGGCACAGGTTTGGGTAGACAGTTGAAATGACAATAATGTTCCCTTTTACAATGTGTCCCAGTATCAATTGCTCATCACCACCACCACCCCCAAGGCCCTTTCTTTTCTCAGCTGTGAGGACCCCAGCTCCCAGAGCCCTGTGGCATCTCCCCACCCAGCACATTCTTCGTTCCCAGCCCTCCGTTCTCCTGACCTTTGGGGAGTCTTTTCTCCCTGGGTTATAAATACCATATGTGGCATGTAAGGTTGCCTCATATTGAATGCTTTCTTCCCAGGGGTATCTCAGAAGCACCTCATTTTAGATCAGGCCAGCAAGATAGCTCAGTTTGGGTACAGCTGCTTACTTCCAAGCCTGATGAATCTAAGTTCAACTTCCCAGACCTACACGGCCTACCAAGTCTCTTTCCTAGCAGGTATGGCCAGCTTTGAACTCAATTTTGGATTACAACCCTGAGCCCACCAAACTGGCAGCTTAAAATATGGCTACCAACAATGCTTAATAAAAAAAACATGAACCCTGAACTTTTCTGGTCCTCATGTCCCCTCTTTTAGCCAGTGGCCTCTTGGAAGAGGTATGGAATGGGTAGGGTACAGGACTGTGGCAGGCCAGTCTGACTGAGCGACAAAAGAAGGGAGAGGAAGCAGGAGAGAACCCTGGAAGTTTGACCTGGAGAGGTAGAGAGAGGGACCTTGGAACTCAGGCTAGATTAAGACCATCTGCTGCTGGGCCATAACCATATTCAGTATGTGTCACAACACAGAAGGCTTGGACACGGGCAGAGACCTGTGTCCACTACTCACCTCAATTCCTTCATCCTAGGTGGACTCAGTGGTCATTTTGATCATTAAACGGGCAAGGAGACACTCTGGATGCTTCTTCTACAGTCACCACTATGGTCTCGTAATGTGCCTGATACCTCCATCCATGCCTCCTTCCCTGAGCCCCAAAAGACAACCATGTTGCTATGCGGTAAAGTCAGAAAGCTACAGGGCTTGAGGTAACTAGAAACCAGCAGAGAGAATCTATGGGGAAAGTGTGGCCAGCAAGCAGAAGAGAGCTGCAGTACTACCACCAAGTGAAGGACAAGAGGTCTGGACAGGGTCTCTTAGGGCCAGGCTAGAGGGTCCCTGGCCTGCAGGGCAGAGGACTGTGGAAAGAAAGGCACTGGGAGGCTAGTGGCCTCTTGAAGGAGGTGTGGTCAGGGGCTCCTGGGACAGGGAGTATTCAGAGCTGCTGGGCTGCAAACGTGGCTGGACAGCCAAGAAAGGGAGGGAAGGAGAAAGGAGGGGGTCCTGGGAGTCTAGTCTGGAAGGGAAAACGACCTAGTCTGGGTTGGAGAGAGGCCTTAGACCTCAGAAAGGAGGTCCAGCCCACCCCACCCTTCCCCATCTCTGCTGCTCAAGGGATCACTGGCTAGGCTGTGACTGAATTGTTGAGGAGGGCTAGGGTCCGATGCAGGATGAGGCATGGGTGTAGCCTCTTGGTGTGCTTATGGGGGGAAGGGGGACAAAAAGCTGGCTGAGCATAGAGGGAGGCTATGGTGGATCGTTGCGTGTGCGGCTAGGCTGTGGGATACAAGGTGGGGGCTGGAAAGCCAGGCCTTGGCGAGTCTTAGGGGAGGATTGGTCCAGGCGAGAAAAAGGGAGTGGGAACAAAAGTCACCTACAACAAGGGAACAGAGTAGAATCTCAGAATAGATTTGGGGGTACAGGGATAACAGTATTGGTGGAGCCATGCAATGTTGGGGTGGGGGAAGCAAGATTGTAGATGTCCTTTGTAGAATCCACCAGCCAGTAGTGCAGAAGTGGGGGTCTGCTCAAGGCAATATGCGCCCTGCTGGATGGGGAAGCGCGCGCGTGTGAGTGTGTATGTGTTTGGGGGGGGTACTTAGGAGGTACACTGAACACTGAGTGGTATTCAGGATTCTGTGCAGCATATAGGTGGGGGTCGGGCAAAAGGGTACAGGATGCACGCAGGCTTTTTGCGGGGCCCAGTGAGGGGCGGGGTTGTGCATTGTGTGCAAGGCTGAGAGGCGGGGTGCACTGTGCCGGGGGCGGTGCACAGGCGGCTTGCGGTGGACGAGTGGGGGAGGGGCTTTGTGGTTCTAGGGCGGGGGTGGGGTGGGGATTTGCGGGAAACCTAACTTGCGGGGCGCTGCGGTGCAGGGAGAAGGTAGCGCGGCCTCCGGAAGCGAGGGGGCGCTGTGCCAGCGCGGGCGCTGTGCGGGGCGGGCGTCGCTCCTTCCTGCGCGGGAGGTGCGGCTGCAATGGCGCGGAATGTGTTGTGAGTAACCTCGTCGCCCGGCCGTGCGGGCTGTACAGCCCAGGTCGGGTGGGTGCGGGGCCCGGGCGGTTCCGGGGACCGGAAGCTGGAGTCGCCCGCACGCAGCGGGTTTCCCGCAGGGGATCACGCGGCAGGCCCGCCTCGGCGTAGTGTCTTGGCTATCAATCACAGCCAGCGGTTCGGGTCCGCTTTGGCAGACAGCCAGAGCTGGGCCGGGATTGGCTGGTGCCTTCAGCACCCCTGGCCCAAGCCCCCAAAAGTTGCTACATTCACAGGTCGCCACGTGGCCAGCAGGGCTGGCCTCCCACAGTCTTAAGCAGGAAACACGTGTTTGGTGAACACGTGACCCATTGGATGGGTGGCCCCAGGTTGAGCATTAATGAGGTTTTGGGGGTTTCTCATGGAGATGGAATTTGGGGGACCCTGCACATATCTGGGGAGCAGACTGTAGGCGTTGCCTGGTGATTTCCTTCTGCAGACTGGCTGCGAGGGACCAGGAACCTCAGCATCAGGGCAGGGTGAGGCAGGGCCAACCTGGTTCAGACAACCATTTTCACCCTCTGGCTTTGTAAGGAGCTGGTGGGACTTATGTGTGAGTGGGTGGAGGACAAGGTGAGATCAGGAATTAGCCCTGAGCTGCTGGGGGACAAGGCCCAGACAGCCTACCAGTGGGGAGACTAGAGCCAAGAGTACCACTTGCTGTTTGGGGTGCTTGTGGAAAAAAATAGTAGAAAGGAAGTTAGGAGAACCCTTAAAAGGCCAGGCCTCGGAAGAGCAGGGAGAATCCTGGGACCAAGAGGAGGCTGCAGGTTTTCAGAGGGAAGTCTCCAAGCTTGGGATGTGCCTGGCAGTTTTTGGGGAGACTTTGTGTGCAAGGGCAGATCTAGGGAGAACAGAAATCTGTAAATTGTCCATGGGACTCCCATGTGCTATCAAGGCCTCTGCCCTCCTATCGTAATCTTGAAGATTCAGAGACTAGTATGTTCAGTGAACACTGCTCCCCCTTTCTACCATTAAGGAAGATCTCCCCAATTTTGTTCTTGTACTGTACCATAGTTGGGCCCTACTGATAATGTGAAGCCCCTTTCGTACCACAGTTATCCTGTACTTTTAGTAAATCAGGGTTCCCTATCCCCCTTCAGAACCCTTCTTTCAAGGTCTCTCCCTGTCCCCGCTAAGCTGCCTATTCTTGTAGGTACAGAGGAGAGGCTCTGCCAGGGCATTGGTAGCAATCTCTAGGCCATTGGTCTGCCAACAATATATGGATTTGAACACTAGGTAGGCTCTTGAGCCACTGAGTTTGACAAACATTTAGCTGTGGGGCCTGCCTCCGAGTCTCCCACCATGCTACCTACATCGTCATTTGAAACCCAGATACCTGCTTCTCAGCCCTGAAACTCCCCTAGTGTGGTCAGCCTGGTGCTTCCAGTGTGGTGCTCCCTGGACTTGGATAGCTAATATATACTTCTCCAAAATTAAGTCAGCATGGAACTCAAGTCTATCATAGGGCTAGGTGTTCCCAGGTCTGGCCCACATGCCCATGCCTAGATGGTCCTGTGTGCCCACCCTCCACCTGGGCACCAGGTACTGTGCACCTCTAGTAATTCCACAGACCCTGAGTTTCTCTCCCACTTCCGTGCCTGGTAAGATAGGCACAGAAGTATACAAGACCACCAGGCAGATAGTCTGCTTCGTCTACAGGTCTGATAGTGATGGGAAACAGTGGCTACCCCAAATTCTGCTTGTTTGGGTAGTTTTAGTAGTCCAGTGATATGTTGCCAGCTTGGAGCATTGTGTTGAAAACACTGTCTTTGCCAGCCCCCAGCCTGTTAGCCTCCCTCTCAAGGAGCAAGGGTTCTTCTGTGCTGTGGAGAGTGAATCGGCTGGCCGTGGAAACACCTAAGAGCAGGAGTTGGTAGGCCTATGGAGGAGGTGTTACCTCAAGTCGAGTGCTACCACTGCCCTGATTATGAGGTCCTCCCTTCCTTGTTCTCTTACGGTTTTACAAGCTGGGACCATTATTCTGCTACCATGCCACACTGTAAGCCTCAGCTTCTGTTTTTTTGTTTGTTTGTTTGTTTGTTTTTTGTTTTTTTGTTTTTGTTTTGTTTTGTTTTCACTTCCCTTTTGTCCTGGGACAACTGTCCCATTCCCAGCCTGCCTTGACCCTGCTGGTGTGAGTGGACACATGAGCCTGCAGCACTCTGTGTGTGTGTGTGTGTGTGTGTGTAAAACCCTAATCCCTTAATTTCTCCTGGGCAGGTACCCTCTCTATCAGTTGGGCGGCCCACAGCTCCGTGTATTTCGAACAAACTTCTTCATTCAGCTGGTGCGGCCTGGTACTGCCCAGCCTGAAGATACTGTGCAATTCCGGATCCCCATGGAGTAAGTAAGCCCCAAAGGAATTCGGGGGCTGGGGAGTGGCCTCCGGTATGTGGGTCCTGTCCTGTTTTTTTAGCTTAGCTCCTGAGGGCCAGGCTTTTCCTGTGGTGGAAAGACCTGGGGCCACTTTGCTTGCTCAGCGCATGGTGGAGGGGCCTGGTGTTTGCAGAGCTTCAGGCAGCCAGGGAGCAAGCGTGCTCTTGGCTGGCTTCCTGGCTCGCCCTCCACCTGGGGAAAGCTTAACAAAAAGCCTGAGATTTGTTGAATTCTTGCCTCCATCCTTTTCCCAGGAAAGGAGTCCCCGGAGGCTGGGTTGGAGCATGCTGAGATTTGCAGAGCTTCTAGAATGTTAGCCCTGAGTTCCTCACCTCATCCTGCTCAGTTCAGTGTGTCACTTTTTAAGGAAGGTGCAGTGCAACCCCAACTTCTGGTGCTGCTCTGAGTCCTAAAAGCCTCGGGGACCAGCTCAGCTGGAGCAGAAGGGCCCGGCAGATACCTGTAGAAGCTGGGATAAGATCTCTTCAGCCTTATAGACATACACAGGAGCTTATGGTGGCCTGGGTTGTGCTGAAAGCTAGCATGGGCTTCATCTGCCAAAGCCTAGAGGACCCTCTCTAGCAAGTGTCTCATAGACCACAGTAGCAAATCTTTAGTCACAGATAGGAGCACAGCCTAGGTACCAGCCTGATACCCTACATTTTTCTGGGGTGAGCCTAGCTGCCTTCTGGTGATGATCAAAGACCCAGGTGCAGAGGACCAAGTAAACCATTCTAATGGAGCCCAACTCTCATGCCCTAACTTGTCCTGTTGTCTGGAAAGGACAGCCCTGCGGCCCAGCCCCACCTGGCCGCAGCTGCTCCTGGACTTTCACCCTTATCTTTGGGTAGGTTATCTGCCTCTCTGTCTTTTATCTAGGCTTAGCTCAGACTTGTTTTCTTTCTGTCTCATCCAGGATGACCAGAGTGGACCTACGGAATTACCTTGAGCAAATTTACAATGTTCCCGTGGCTGCTGTGCGCACACGGGTACAGCATGGTGAGTTCCTGTGTTGGTGGCTTGCCTCCAGGATGTAGCCTTTTGCCTACTTCATGTTGTCTCCCACTCCATGAGGGGAAACAGAGGCATGAGGGGCTTAGGTAACTTGCCAGAGTCACATGGACCCCTTGGTAGAATTCTGCTCCCATCCCCTTGTAGCTCACTGAAGCTGTGACCCTGAAATGTCCTCTGCTCCATTTTAGCTGTGACCCTGAAATGTCCTCTGCTCCTTTGAATCACTTCCTTAGCCTGGGCTGGTCGCTAGTAGGCCTTCATAGTCTCCTCCTGTCATAGACCCTGATGTGGCCCATCAGTGGCAGAGCCAGTACCCAGGGCTGGCTGCCAGAGCTGCCCTCCTAGACAATGCCCTTCCCAGAGAATCTACATTTTGCCAGAGAGCAAAGAGGTTCCTTTCATTCTTTTAAAGTCTTTTGCTGTCGTCTCTATTGTCAAAGACTTTTATATTGGTTTTCAGAGACAGGGTTTCTCTGTGTATTTCCTGGCTATCCTGGAACTCTGTAGACCAAGCTGGCCTCAAACTCAGAGAACCCTCTGCCTTTGCCTCCTGGGTGCTGGGATTAAAAGTGTGTGCCTCTACGAGCTGGCTCAAAGACAGTACACAGTACACAGTTCCTCCATTACACAGTAAATGGAGGAACTGCTCTCTGCTGGGAGATCTGTCTGCAGTCCCTCCTGGAGCTCAGTTTACCCTTCAAATGCCCGCTACCACCACCACACACACACACCTCCAGATGATATCTTGTGCCTAGCTGGGAAAATGGTTTCTAGCCTGTGGGGCTGATAAGAGAGCAGACATTAAGCAGGGTCTGCTGTCCCCTCACAGGCTCCAACAGGAGGAGGGACCACAAGAATGTCAGAATCAAGAAGCCAGACTACAAAGTGGCCTACGTGCAGCTGGTGAGTGATAATAGCCCTGTTTCTGCTCATTTTCACATCTGCGTCCCTGGGGCTGTTTGTGCAATGTACTCCACCCAGACCTGGAGACCTGGGGAGGGGAGGAGTCCAGGTCAGAGTGCAGCTCAGCAGAGCAGAGCACCTCTGCTGAGCTCAGGAAGTCTATTCCTGATTTTGTGTTAAAGGCCCATGTCTTGTCCTCATGTTTGGTGAACACAGAAATCAGAGGATGAATGTGCCAAGCCACAGCTCTGTGAGAACCTGGCCTTGGACAGATCCTGGGCCTGATGGAGAGTTTATGTTCCCCTTGGAACCCCATGCAGTGAAGAGGTTGAGATCTCTGTCATTCCTCTGTTAATCTAATCGTGACAGTGCTTATGTGAGTACAGGCACCAAAGCCACTTCACTTCATTCTTGCTTGGGGTCCACAGAGAGGAATCCTAGCCTGGGCCTTTATTCACTGAGATACAGACTTGCCAAGAGAGAGCCACATTTTTCTCTTGCCTCTATACCTGACCCGCTGGCATTGAGAGCAGATTTTAAACCACCCAGTGCTCTTTGGTCTCAAGTCTCTGGACAGAAACTACTTTGGCCTCTGGGAATCTTGCAAGCAAGACTCCCCTAGGCTGGGTCCATTAACTAGGCCCCTAGTGCTTGAACCTCACAGGGGGGCTTCCTTCAATTTCTCCAGTTTCAGTGTCAACAGTCCTCCAGGGAGCCCAAGCCTCCACAGCTGGCCACTAGATGGCAGTCATGCTATTGAGAATGGGCTCCTCCCACCCGCCAGGGCTGGATGGCTGTTTATTCAAAGACCCTGTGGGGGGGGACACAGCTTTGCTGAAGAAAGAGCCACAGTTGTTCTAAACTTAGCCCAATATTTGCTATGCATAAAATCAACCAATGCAGGTGGGAAAAGAAGGCTTGGGCCCTCTGAAGGCTTGTGTGTGTGAATGTGTGTGTCTCTGTCACCCATCTTTCTCTGTCAAGGCCTACGGGGCCACATCCATATGCTGGCCTTTGCCACAAGTCACTTCAGAGACAGCTATGGTTACAAGTGGCTTTTGAGACATCTGAGCCCCTACGTTCTCCCGTTCCCCAGCCCCACCACACTCATGAAAGCTGGACTCAGTGGTTCTTAGATCTGGCAACTGCAGCTGCCACCAGACATGTCTACCTTCCTCTGTGAAATCATGATAAATGGGGACCCATCGTGTCCCCACTGGGCCAGGTTCCTCAGCCAGGATTAAAATTTGTAACGCACCCCCTTCCCAGCTCCAGCCTAGAAATGGTTTGTGTTTGGCTGTATCCGCAAAGACTGTCTTTGTCTTCTACCATGTCCTGTGGGGAGTGAGGGGCTTCTGGTAACTGCATTGTGAGGCTCAGGAAGGGGCAACCAGAGAAAGAGAGAGACAGTTCATTGTGAGTGTGGAAGGGGAAAGGCGGGTCCCACGTGGTGGGCGTCCACATTTTTCTTCTGACAACCTGATAAACATCTTTTTGGTCGGTGGGGAGGGAGCCTTAGCAAGCTCTCAGTCCCCACATAACAAAAAGAGCATTGACCGTGTTTACACAGAATGGTGTTTGACTGAGTGGTGCACACAGGCCATGAGCCCTTGGCTCCAGAATAAATGCTGCGGGCAGGCACAGTCCAGCCCAACAATGGCCCTCGGGGCCCTAGGATTACTGGCGTCAGGAGTCAGGACTGGCTTCTCCACTTTTCCCCCTGGCCTTTCTTTCTTTCCTGCCTTGGGCCCCTCAAAACCGGCTCTCCCTCCTTGGAGATGGGTGGGTACATTTTTTTTAAAGTATGAAGTAATTATCTCTAGAGATATCCCTCAAAGAAGTCATGCTGGTACCCATAGACGGTGATGCGGGTCCCTTAGGGGTTGCATCTGCTTCTGCTCTTTCCCAACACCACCCCCATTGCACAGGCTACAGGCTGTCTTTTGTCTCTGGGCCTTAGGCTGTCATTTTGGCTTTCATCTGCCACCAAAGCCAGCAGTCAGTTCTAGATGGGCAGTCAGCTCTGCTTATTAGCTGCTGCCTCCCCATTTTGTTTTTGAAACGTGGTCTCCTGCCTTGCCATTTTGTTTTTGAAATGTGGTCTCCTGCATCTCAGACTATCCTTGAACTCCTTGTGAAGCCAAGGATGACTTTGAATTTCTGATTCTCTTGCCTCCAACTCCTCAGTGCTAAGATTATAGGCTCAAACAACACCAAGTTCCTGTGGATCAGACCCTGGGCCTCATGTGTGCTAGGCAAGAACTCTACCAACTGCGCTACATGCCCAGCCCCAAAACAAGAGTCTTTGAGGGCCTCTGACTGAACTTACTGAGGTCCCAGGTTCAGAATTCTCTATTTGTCCACCTAGGAGACATGAGGTAACAGCAGAAGGGGTCTCTACTCCAAGGTGGGCTCTTTTGTACCCCTTCCCTCTAACATCTTTTGTCTTGGAGATGGTAGCAAAGGCTGCAAGTGAGCCTCTCAGCCCTGTATGTGCTTAGGGCCTTGTAGAGCTGGCTTTCTTCCCCCTCCCAGGGCCTTCACTGGTGCTGGTCCACGTGCTTGGGGCCCCAGGCTGGGATGTGGCCATGCTGACACACTCTGAACTTCTAGTGAAAGACGTAAAAGCAGTTAATTTGTAAAGCCGAGCTTGATTTATAGACTGCTGCGTATGTAGGTTTCTGTGTATGTTGTGTGCATTTTATTTGCCAAGTTCGGAGCCTGGAGGAGGGCGGCCTTTAATGTGGCTGAAGGCCTTTAGATATTTTGGATGGAAAAAGTTTTAGCATGGCACCAGACGTCATTTGTGTCCTGTTTTTCTGCTCCTAGTTCCTGCCCCCCGTTCCACCCGCTGCCGCCTAGTAAATGGGCCTTTGCTGGACTGCTTTTAACGAGCCCCGGGCTGGTGCAGACCCCTGTAAAGAGATAATGTCCATGAAAAGGTCCATTGTCCTGGTAATAGCCTGCTGCTGATAGATAAAGGTTGGAGGGCTGGCCTGTAAGGTGTTTGTTTTCCCAGCAGGAACCCTGCCTAGAGACACTGGCGGCTCATCATCCTGTTGTTTGTCATCCAGGGTCCAGGATTGCTAGCAACTAAGCATTAAGGCCCCGAGTGTGAGAGGAAGGCAAGCTTTAAGCTCTCAACTAAGCCCCTGTTTCTCTTCCCCAGGCCCATGGGCAGACCTTCACCTTCCCAGATCTTTTTCCAGAGAAAAAGCCCAGTCCTGCAGACCCTCTGGAAGAGGAGCTACAGCAGCAGAGGCAGAGCAGCGACCCACGGTGCCCTGGTATCCCTTCCTGGTTTGGCCTATGACCTGTGACAGCAGGGATCACAGACCTAGCGCACACAGTGGTTCTGACAAACCCCAATAAAAATCCTTTGTGGAGAAAGAACTGGGAGACAGTCTGCCTTCTGTAGTGGGTACAGCTCTGGGTCTCTGACACCTGTGCTGTAGAAGACTTGGCTGTGGGTAGAGTCTGAGGCCAGTTAGCCAGAGACAGCAGTGTAAACATTTGTACCTGACAGGATAGCTCAAGGTGACACAGCAGAGGCCTGATGCCAGGCAGGCGGGTAAGCCCCCGGAAACAGTCCAAGATTGCAGTCCTCATTGTGGGGATGGGGGACGGGCTGGGAGGGAATCGCCTGTCCAGACAGGTTTTGGTGTGATACAATAGCAGGAAGGACCAGAGAGGGATGGTGAGCAGGAAGGATGTTGAAGGGCATGAGGGAAATCAGGCAGATCTGCAGGCTCCAGGGACTCTGTCATTGCAGGGAGATAGCCAGGCCACCATGACCAGAGGCTATGGGTGATGAGACATGAAAGAGCCCCTTGGAGCCAGTGTGACTATGGGGATGGAGGTTCACAGAGATTACAAGGAGCAAAGGCCCAGCAGGGTTGATTGCCAGATAAAGATAATTACCTTGAAGCCTGGAGATCTGAGTTTGATCCCCAGAATTGACGTAAAATGGATGGACAGAGCAGAGTTCACGAAATTTTCCTCTGATTTCAACACACATGCCCACCCAAACCCGCCATGCATATACAGACAAGAATTTTAAAGATTTTAGAGGAACAAAGTCCTTTAGTTGGGTTGACTAGAATCATGAGGATGTGTGTCAATTATTTTTCAGCATTGATGCTTGACATTTTGTGTGTGTGTGGGGGGGTGGTGGTAGTTTGGTTTTTGTTTTTTGAGACAGAGTTTCTCTGTGTAGCTTTGGCTGTTCTAGAACTCACTTTGTAAACCAGCTTGGCCTCATACTCAAAGATCTGCCTGTCTCTGCCTCTTGAGTGCTGAGATTCAAAGTATGCACAACTGTTCTCAGCCTGAGTTCGTGTTTGTGACTGTGTCTGTATATGACTGTCAAGGTGTCAAGGAGTCTGCCATTTTACTGACTGACTATATTGTTCTGTAAATGAAGTATCTCTGACTATGTCCAGTATTGTGTGTGTTACTATATCCGATTGCTGATTGTACAACTGTGTCTCAGTGTATGTGTGTGATCCTGAGAATGTGATTGTGGGATTTTCTTTTCTTTCTTTCTTTCTTTTTTTTTTTTTTTTTTTTTGTCTTTTTGGTTTTTGAGAGGTTTCTCTGTGTAGCGTTGGCTGTCCTGAAACGAACTCTGTAGACCAGGCTAGCCTCGAACTCAAAGAGATCCGCCTGCCTCTGCTAGGAGTAAAGACATGCACCACCACTACCCGGCTGAGACTATCACTGTGTTTTATTACACGTTTCAGTATGTCCGAGTACGTGTCTGTGATTGTATGTGTCAGTGTGTGTATGTGTGTCTGTGACTGTCTTGAGTATGTGACTTTGTGTGTTAGTGTGTATATTTGTAGTTGTATGTCAAACTATGTGCCAGTGTGTATGAGTGACTGTCTCAGTCACATATGAGACAGTGACTGTCTCAGTATATGTGTTTGAATGTGTCTGTGACTGTCACTGTCTTAAGTGTGTCAGTGTGTGGGGGGGGACTATCTCAGTTTTTGTGCGTCTGGGTGTGCAGTTGTGCCTCAGTGTGTATGTGCATGTGTCTTTTTAAGTGTGTGTGGTTGTGATTATGACTGTTTCAGTGTTTCTGATTATAAGTGTGCCTTTATGTGAAATTTAATTCTAAGGAGGAAGTTTGCTTAGAGATTTGGGTCATGGTATCACCAGGGATAGCCTAGTCTCACCACTCATTTGTCCCTGTGGTATCTTACCCCTGTCTCTGGGTGTCTGCCTGCCTGGATTTGGAATCCATGCACTGCAACATGGCTCTGCTGTGGCCTGTGGGTTCTGAGCAGGGCCTGGGGGCCCTTGAGATGGAATCAGTGCTCAGCCCCACCCCCACTGGAGCGCAAAGGCAGCCTGGAAGGGGGGGGCGCTGGCGGAGGCTGAAGGCCAGCAAAAGCACCCTTCAAGTGTTGATTTAGAGGATGGGGAAGGTCAGGAAGTGGGCAAGAGAACTGTATTTTCCTTAGAGAAATAATTCATGGGGCCCCGGGCACAGAGGACCCTCAGTGTTGGGGGAGGAGGAATCCCATTTTTCACGCCGCCTGCACAAGGAACTGCTCACAACCTCCACAGGCACAGGCAGCCCTGAGGGCCAAGGTCACCCTTCATCATGTCCTGCTGGCTGCCACAGTCCCCCACCAGCTTTGCCCCTGTCACACACACCCCTACCACCCCCACCATGGCCCTCACAGGCTCAGGCCACAGCCTACTCTTTGAGCCAGGGAAGGAGGCAGGGGCCTCCAGCTCCTGGTGCCTGCTTCCCCCATATCCTGGAAGCTCTCTGAGTAGGGGATCTGGGGTGCCCTGGATGCAGTAGTTATTTCAGTCTAGAGTCAAGTCACCTATAGTAAGGCAGCCTTGGTGGACAAATGGCCATAGACATGGAGACAGAGTCACCTGCCTCCTTGTTGCGAGAACCCTCTGCCATCTCTACTTGGCGCACATAAGCCCACTAACTCCAGGGTCACCGTGTAAGGAATAGTCTCAACGGGGACCCTTCTGTGCTCCTGTAAGCCCACAGGCTGAGTCCCAAAGCATATGATAATGATAGGGTGACAGACGGCAGGGGTGAGCTACTACCACAGGCTCATGTGCAAATGTACATGTGTACACACACACACACACACACACATGCACATCTCGCTAGCCACAGAGAGTAACCCACTTTTGATCCCAGTCTGGCTGGTAGAGCTTGAGATGATCGATCGCCTGCCCCAGTCACTCAAGGAATGCTGAAGCTTCCCTATCCCCCTCTGGTTTCTCTGGCCTGCGAGGCTTATCACTGAGGCGTGCTTATTGCCTGGCTGATTGAAACTGGTACAAAAGCCCAGCCCTGCTCACCACACCACGGATGTGCACTGAGAAGTCCATAGAGCACCTGGGATGGGGCACTCTGGACGGCAGGACATGGGCTGCCTACAACCTCAGGCACACACTGTTCTCTGAGAAGAGCTGGCTAGGCATCCCCTCTCCAACCCACACAACCTGCAGGTCCCCCTTCTCATCTGAAGTGACAGGAGGGAAAGGACTAACCAGGTTCATTTCTGTTCCCTAGTAAGGACTCCAGGGGCCGGCTTCTTTCTTTTTCTTTTTCCTTCCTTCCTTCCTTCCTTCCTTCCTTCCTTCCTTCCTTCCTTCCTTCCTTCCTTCCTTCCTTCCTTCCTTTCTTTCTTTCTTTCTTTTTTTTTTTCAAGACAGGGTTTCACTGGGTAGTCTTGGCTGTCCTGGACTTGATTTGTAGACCAGGCTGGCCACAAACTCACAGAGATCTGCCTGCTTCTTCCTCTCCAAGTGCTAGGATTACAGGTGTGCGTCATCACACCCGGCTCAGGCTGCCTTTTACTTTAAACTACATTGGTTGGGCTAGAGAAATGGCTCAGCAAGTAAGAGTACACACTGCTCTTGTAGAAGACATGGGTTTGGTTCCCACCAGCCATGTCAGAAGTCTCACACCAGCATCCAGCTCCAGCTCCAGGGTGAGCCCATGCCTCTGAGTTATGTGAGGATTCACTCGTGCACCCACCCCACACAGAGATGCACACGTAGACACATATTAAAACTCTTTAGAATAAAGTAAAATTACATTTTCTTATTTATTGTACGTGAAGGGGTGTGGAGATCAAAGGGCACATTTCAGGAGCCCATTCTCTACTTCTAGGGCATCAAACTGAGCTCAGCAGGTGTGGTGGCAGGTGGCTTCGCCTCTGAAGCCACCTTTTCCCCAGCCCCGTCATTTCTGACTTTCAAACAGATTTACGGAGGTATGCTTTGTAGATTGTACTTCAGTGTGTGGGACAGTGGCTTTCAGTGCCTTCCCCACCTGTCTTTTATCCTCCTTAGCCACAGGCACCTGCATCTTTCTGTCTCCTGCCCCTATGGATGAGGTAACTCACATGGGTGATGTTACTGAAGATCTGCCTTTCCCATGGCTGATTCCAATCTTCAAACAATACCTTCAAGGTCCATCCACGCTGTGCAGAGGGCAAGATTTTTCTCCTTTTAAGGACTGAGTAGTAGTCTGTGGTATGGGTAGACTTTTGTTGTCTGTTTTTTGATGTCTCGGTGGGCTCATGAATTATTTCCACCATCTAGCCCTTGTGACTGATGCTACTACTCAAATTGGTGTGTGCATGTGTTTTTGTTCCTCCTGAGAGAACTGTTCATTCTTGGCCTCGGTGGACTCATGTGCCATGGCTGCAGTGAGCAGGGTTTCTTCCCTGACACCCTCCTTGTCTCTAGGCTTGCGCCCGCTTGTCCAGATGCTGCTCCAGTCATGGGCCTCCTCAAGCCTCACTCTCAGATCAAGCTTCAGGAGACAGCAGGATTCCTGCATGAGGTTGCAGAGGTGGCTGATGGGCACACAGGGTCATTACCCCAACTCTGTACCCAGTTGTGAAGAGTATTCTCCTGGGTCTGGGGAAATGGCTCTGTGAATATAAAGTACTTGCTGTGCAAACATGAGGACCCGAGTGAGCTCTCTGAAACTTCTGCAAAAAGCTAGGCATGCTAGAACTTGTATTCCTAGTGCTAAGGATGTAGGATACCTAAGGCTCTGCTGGCCTGGCCCCCTAAATTAATAGGAGAGTGCTAGGTCCCAGTGAAAGAAAAAAAAAAAAGCTGGACATCTCTCTTCTGAGGAATGACACCTGAGGTTGACCTCTGACCTCCGTACACATGTACGGACATGTACTCACACACAAAGAATTGTTCTCCTATAATCTGTCTTACACATCCTAGTTTTCAGGACTCTTGACATAGCCTGTGCTGCCTTTCTTTGGTGGGGGTTGTACAGTTTCTTTCTAGCACTTTCTGCCCCTGCTCCTCCCTCAGGCATATAGTTTCCAGAGACAAAAGAAGAAGAGCCTCACTGGGACCTTGTTTGATTCCCACCA